TTCTTGATATATTGAATTTTTTGTCTCTCATTACGTACTGTCATCTATCCATCTCTCTACATGCATCTTTGTAAACGCTTCCGAGTCGAGAGAGATATGTATGCGGACATCTACCAGTACATATAAGTATGTGACAAAAGTCGAGTTCACTTGACTTAGAAATATTCTTTTCGGTTGAAACTTTTAGTTTTAGGATATTCTACGAATCATTACACCTATCTATAGACAAAATTTTGAATCGAAACTCCGTTATACGGTTTTGAGGGAACTATCTATAGATGGGTCGAAAATCTAATAAATTCATATACAATTAACGAGAAAAATTATCAGACATTTAATAATTTTTGAAAATAAGAAAAAATATTTTGATTTGATTTTATCGAAGATTTTCGATTATTTTTAGATAAAAAATCCTTTTTAGAGAAAACACAATTCGGATCAATGAATACTAATATCAATCGTCTTTTTCAAAGTTTTTACATTGTTTTAATATCCATTATATCAATATTTAATATTTCATTAATCTATTTGATTGATACAAATGATGAACATAATATGAATGATCATGATGAAAATACAATAAATGAATCCATGGATGGTTAGTACAATGAATTTATATTTAATTTTAGTCGTTAATAAAAAAATACTTATTGAAATTAGTTTTTTTATCGATGATTATTTTTAAAATTCATTTATTTCCAGTTGAATACAAAATGAATAAAATTCGATGAAACTTAATTGAATAAATTTTTCGAATAATCTAAAATCCTAATCACTTGAAAGACATTCATTTAACGATTAGGATATTTTAGATTAAAAGTTATTATCTTTTTTTTGTATTTCTACAGAATATTCTGAAACAGTTGCCGAAATACCATGCGATCCAGTTGTACAGGCTCAATGTATGTGTTTATTTATTGTACAAATAATATATTCTCATTGAAACATTTTCGAAATTATTAGGTCGACAAATAGATATGTGTATTGCACATGCTTATAATAAAAAATATGTGAGATTTGGACAAACTCAACCTTGTCATCCAGGTTCTTTTTTCATATTTTGGTTTTCTGTTGTATTTATTTCTTTATTATTTATTTTCTATTTTAGTTGAATTATTATTTATTAAGATTCAGAGTGAGTTTCATTTTTAAATTGAAAAAAGAAAAGACCAATAAAATGATGATTTTGAATTCATTTTTGTAGAATTGATCAATGGAAGACGTTTTTGTATATTTCTTATTTTTCTTGGTATTTGTATTTGTAAGTATCTTAGAAAAAATCTTTTATTCATTAATATTTTAATATCATCTGTCAAGACTGTAAGCATTTTACTCCGAAAGTTGCATTATCAAGGAATACAAGTTTACAAGTAGATGATAATGTAATGTTTATCTCATTCTATAATACTGATCAAGGTATAGAAGAGAATAATTTATTTATTTTTTTAATATTAATCTATATTATAGATTTTATCATGAAAGAACAAAATGTTGTTGTTGACGATAAAATCAATAGTCATGTAAAAGATAATAGTAAGAGAATTATTTAGAAAATTTTCTTTTAACTAATATTCAAAATAAATATTAAGAGTCAAATATCAAAGATATGTTAACAGAGATTTCTGCAATAACTTTAGTCGATAATTTAGTGTGTACATTATATGATGTATTTTTAAATGTTTTTACTCCATTGTTTTGTTGGAAAGATGATATNCTTCATATGTTACATTTCTTATTTTTCTCATTATGTTCGTCTATTGCATTTCACTGACAATTCTCATAACTGCGAATGAAATAACTTTGCTTGGACTTCAAAGAACGCGTGAAAAAAAATTGAAAGTGGCACTCAATCAGCGTTTAATCGAAATGGAACGACGTATTCTTAGAAGTAACCCATTGTTCTTATTCACTCTATAAAATTGTTTTTCGACAATGTATTCATTGTGTTGTTCTTGTACGGATGAATTTTTCTTTATAATGTAATTTTTTATAAATGTAGAAACTATAATTACAATAATTGGCTTCTTATTTGCATGCACTGGGTATATGCAGTGGCATTTTTTTTTGTCTCGGCTTTTCGTGGCAAAGATTATGTGTCATATTACCAATGGTTACCTTCTTTCGTGTATCTTTTCCTAAAACATCAACGATATGGATTTCTATATTTAATACTGATGCATCGACTCATTTTCATTTTGCATTTTGGTAATCAAGATGGATTAGATTCAACAACAGGAATTATCCAATGCATCAATATTATATAGGAGTGTGAGTGTTGATCTTCTATTTATCAACCGTTACTCTTATGTACATCCATCCAATTATATACAAACAAATAAATACCATAATAGTAAAACATTTTCATCTTCACTTTGTCTTGGTATCGTACGATCATTATTAGATTAGATAAACAATATCGTTCTTCAGAATTTTTTCTGAAATAACATTGATACAATGTATGAACATCAATCGGAAACTATCACAAGGCAAAAAACGAAATTGCCCTGTGACGATCTCTGATGTGACCCGAATTGTATCTAATGTAAGTCAAAATCTTTCACAAATGACAAATGCTTTGCAGAAAAAAAGTTAGCAACGTAAAATATTTTTCCCTGTTCTACATGGCAGATCGATTCTGTCAAGATTCTCTAGTATTTATTTTTATTTTGGATGGAACGTTACTCTACTTAAAATTATACTGAAAGCGGCTTTCTCATGTATGTATAATACATTTTATCTGTATTAGACATAAAGCATAGTTTGGAATAGTCAGTCCTTATCTTTGGTTCTTTTCTTTAACATAAAAATAAATCGTTACAAGATAACTTTAGAAAAGATTTTTCAGAGTTCGAAAGAAAAATTTCAATCATTTTTTCTTTATCATCTATCATTCAATATTTCATGAAAGAAAACTAGAATTGTAGCACCGTCTGATGGTCAATTGTCCCATTATTTTTATAAAAACAAAAAATGAAAATAACATTAGAAAGATTTCTTTTATTTTAAAACAAATTTTTTCCATGAAATACTTTATATGAACTATTAGAAGAAAAGAGCCAATCATTTTGCAAATGTAATTCAAATGAATTTTTTGATATATTTTATTTTTTTTGGGAACCGGAACGATGAGCACGAGGAACGATGAGCACGGAACGTTAAGCACAGAATGTTAAGCACGGGAATGATAAGCACGAGGAAAGTTCAGCACGAGGAACGATGAGCACGAGAATGATGAGCACGGGCATTTTAAGCACGCACACAATCGAAATTAAATAGAATGTGGGCGAGCCTTGTATGTGGGTGTAGATTGGCAGTTACTGAACTGAATGGGATTCCAAAACCTTGCTCCTGTGGACTCGAAATCGGAGTTACAAAATCAGATTTTTCGGAAGCTAAATCGGGAAATGAGTTTTTCGGAATTGCTGCCGGCGTCAGAGAATTTTTCAATTTTTTTCTCAAAATGGGAGGGACTACCAGGATTTCTTTTTTTTTGGGATTTATTTTCTCCATATGATTTGTTTATTTACTGAAGATTTATTAGGACATATTAGGTGTATCAGTATTTCAGCGCACCCTCATCATCGCTCTTGCCCCTCGTCTCATCTTCACCCTCACTAAGTCTTCGCCCTCACCCTCATTAAGTCTTAGTCCTCAGGAGGAATTGTTTGAGATTTATTTCAAAATGTGTGGAGATTTATTAAAAAATCTCAATAAATCCCAAAAAAATAAATCTCTGTAGCTGCTGGAACGTATCGGGCTGCTATTATGGTGGTGTAGAGTGGAGAAAATGATAAACTTCAAGACTTTATGAGATTTTAAAAGGCTTTACGAAATTTGAAACGCAGAGACTTGAAAATTTCTAAAGACTTAGCGTGACTTCAGAAGATTTCAACGAAAAGTCTCTGCTATTTCTTATTCAAATGTGGATGTGGCTGAAGAGATGATCAATATCTGCACCCGCCTACACGCTATTTAATTTCGATTGTGTGCGTGCTTAAAATGTCCGTGCTCATCGTTCCTCGTGCTCATCGTTCACCAATCCATTTTTTTTTCAATCTTCTCGTGTTTTGACCTTTAGGTAATCAAAGTTCTTATTGACATGATCCTATATAAAGTAATCTAATGAGTTTCAGTTCGAGATGCAACAATGATGGTGATCACGGGTCGTAAGCAGAGTGCAACACTGATCTAGACATTGTAAGTATAGAAGAACGATGAATACATAATGAAACTATGATGATCTTATATTCATTTTGACTTTTTCAATCGAAGGAAATGCATTTCAAGAAAATAGCTGAATTTTATAAAACATGACTAAACCGTGAGAATCAAATCTTTCTCAAACAAAACAATCGAACTTGAAAATTTTGATAAATCTCCTATATATTCGAATTTCTACTAGATCTCGAATATCTCTCGCCTCTTCTTATAACATTTAGTTATTTTCTTGAAATGACTTGCTCGATGGAAAGAATCATAATCAATCCAAGATCACCAGTTTTATCATGTGTGAAATCTCGTCAAAACGATTCAAGGTTTTGTTTTTTTTTATTTATAGATGATGAAATAATATTATTTTCATTATGATTTATCTCAAAATAATAGAACATTTGACCATCAGACAATGCTTCAGTTTTAACTTTATTAGAACATTATTAGAAAAATTCAATGGGATTTTTCATTGTCATTCTGGTAGAGAATTTGATGATGCATCTAACTTGCTACTTTATCGTTCGTATAAAAATTTTGATCATGAATAAAAGAATTTAAAAATTCGAAAAAAATTTATGCCTAATTACGACTTATCCTGAAGTTTTTATTCATCTATTTATCTAGCAAGAACAATGATCAATACAAATAAAAATAGAAATACCTCTCATTACTGACAGAAGTTCTTTTTTTATGTTATTACAATAAAATCACGTGACAAAGTAGAACAAATAATGTCAGAAAAAAAATATCAAAAATATTGTCGTTTGGTTCGTATGTTATTTTTTTGTTTAATTTTTCATGATTGCTTCTTCTGTACGATTTCGAATTGTTTCTAATATTTCTTTCCAATCTTTTTCACCAATTTTTTGTATTGTACGTTTAAGTACTTCCATTGCTTTTGGAAATGTTGCTTTAAATATTGTTATAACCTCATTTGGCTCAACAATACCTAGAATAAAATCAAATATTAATGGGTTTTTTATTTTATTAAATGAAAAAAAAAACAAAAAACTAAATAAACAAACCATCTTCTTTCCAACAGATATCATCAGTTACAATTCCAAGTGAGGCATATGGTAGACCTAATTCTTTGGCAAGAATTGTTTCTGGTGTTTGTGTCATTCCAATTGTTGTACAACCCCAACTAATAAAAACTTTATTTTCAGCATAAGTTGAAAAATTTGGTCCTTCAATAACAACAACAGTTGATTTATCTTTATATCCAACATTAGGTGTTTCAGCACATGATTGAATTAATAATTGACGTAATTCACGATCATATGGTGGGTGCATACTCATATGCATTACACCTATAAAAATAATATCTCAATTTGTCTATAAAAGAAGATGCTATGCTATTACTGCTAACGAGGAAATTATCTGGATTGATATCCAATGTTTTTCGTACTTATTATATTTACAAGGGCGCATTAGTGAGACTAGTAGAAATCTAAAAGGGTTCGGTCCCACGAATGTCGAGTATACAGTTCTCAATGGCGTTAGTTCATTATCAGATTGTTCGATTTTCTAATATATTGTGTTATGCGAAATATTAGAAAATTGAATACTTTTACAATGAACACGAACTCTTTTAAACTTTCTCTAAATTCTACTTTGGTATAAGGATAATAGTTCTAGAAAACTGTCCATATAATTCAAATCGGACAAGTGAGAATAAGTATATGACATGATAATATTATTCCTTATTTATTATGAAACACGATGATCATAGACAAACCTTGAAGATGACCGATCTCATGATCATAAAATGTGTTCGGTCGATGCTTTGTCATATCGATGAAATTATCTAAATTATAATCAAAACTTTGATGAAAATTAATAACACAAAAAAACAAAACAAACTCAATACCAAAAATAACAAGAGTACCACGTGGAAAATCTTGAGAAAGTGAACCAACTGCTGTAGTAGCCAAAACTAAATTAACACCAAGTTGTTTCAATGCCCAAAGATTAGCTCGATAACTAAAATAAGAAATAACTATAGTCAAAATAGTAAATTTAAAAGTTCCTTACTTTAACTTTGTAGGATTAAATGAATGTTGACGTCCATGTCGAAAGCATAATACACATTGAACACCATTAATTATTCCACTAACTAAATTATCTGATGGTCGTCCATATGGTGTATCAACAATTTCATGTTCAATACGATTTGATAAAATATCACTTCGATCAAAACCTGATCCACCAATAATTCCTACACGAATTGTTGATACCATCTGTAAATCAATAGATTATTGAATGAAAATTTATCGCTTAAATGCTTTTATTATTAGTATTATTATTTATACTCTTCAGATCAATTAAAAAAAAAAAACAAAAAAAAATATTCACAAAGAAAAAGAAAACAAACACAATTATTAATTAATTGAGAAATAAATTCTTGCTGTTGATCATCATACTACAATAGAATGCATATGATTAGAATTTTAAATAAAAAAAAAAAAAAGAATGAAAGCCCAAACAAGCAAGAATAAATATTCAATCATAATTTTGAATTTAAATCAGAATCACTATTATATTTATGCGTCCCAAAAAGATGCGAAAGCAATGGCGTTTCATTATTTGTTTTTATACGTGTTGTTTTACCATTTTTACGAATTACAGTTGTTGTTGATATACCATTTTTTCTTCGTCTCTGTTGATCATTTGATAACGCTGAACCTTCACCATTTACTCGTATAGATGATTGAAGACTAAAATGATTATCTAAATTGATATTTGTCAAAGGTGTAGCAGTATGAGCATTAGCAGTAGCAATAATAGATGATTGATACATGCAATCAGAAAATGATTCATAATCACTGGTTTGTTGTATATTTGACGACATACCGGAATCATTATTATTATTATTATTTTGCGTATTATTTAATGAAGCTCCATCGATTGATATTGAACTTATAGAATTAGAAAGAATTTCATCATCATTTGTTCTTTTTGTTTCATCTTCTTCATCAGCTGATTCATCGGATATATCGATTTTTGGAAATTCGGTTAATTCTAAATAATGAATAATTATGTTTATGAATTATATTAAAAATAAAATAGAAAAATAATGCACAGCAAATTAAGGCGAATTTTTTTTTTCTGAAATCAATTACCTCGATTGACGGATAAAACCGTCGATAAGTCTGAAATGTTAGTTTTTGTTCGAGACAAAAAAAAAACCAGATAAATATGATTATTACTTACCAAGATCAGGTAATTCAATAAATTCATCGGGTTTATCTGAGCCAACACCTGGTTCACGGGGTGGAAGTTTCATTAATGAGTAACTTTTACGTTTTGAATGAATCTTAGGATTAAAAAAAAAAGACATGTGAAATTTAGCTTGAGGTTTTTTTCTTCTTCTTAGTGTGTTCTTACTTCTTCAGATATTCGCTCAAGGTTATTTAATGCTGTACGATACATTTTTTTCGCTTGACTTATTGCTTTTTGTACAGCTTCAATTCGAAGTTTCTGATTCTAGAGAAGAAAAAAATCATTTAATATATATTCACGAGGAAACTACTCGTACTTATAACCTACTCAATGAATTTACATTGGGTTTGCAAAGAAGTCTCGAGAAGGTTCGTATTTATGGACCTCTGAAGTCAGAGTTTTAGCCATTTTACGGAATTTTCGATCCAGCTTTAGGTATTTTACCGAAAAGTCAAACAGCTACTTGCTGAAAATTTCAGTTAAAGAAAAAGTTGTTTCGTCGAGATATTGAGTTTCAAAAAAAAAAATGACCGTTTGCCACAAAAATCGACTTTACAGTGAAACAGTCACAACTCAAATTCAGAAGTTCATAGGTACGAGTCCTTTAAAAATTTTTCTAATCTTACCGAGATCTCATTGTAAATTCAATATGGTCTCAAACAGTAGGTATCAATTCAGATAGTTCTCTCGTCAGCTTAATTGATACAAAGCAATTAGATTGAAGAATTGCAAATGCTCATTGATAGCGATAGAAGTAATTAGACATCTGCACGGGTAATATCGAAGAGACAATTTTAGCTCTAAAATACATCTGTTTCCGATGACTATGTATTAATAATATATTCTGAGAAAACACATGCTGTGTAAAACTGAACACTTCCAATGATGCTATTCAAAGATCTATTTATTCTAATAAACTAATGACTTGAGTTCGTAACTTTAGTTTATCGAAAAGTTGCTTTCCTTTTCTAAGAAAAAAAAAACTTATTAAATTAGAAATAATGAAAAAAAAGAAGATTGGTCACAATAGAAGACCCTGAATTTTCTATTGCATGAAAGAGGATATCATCTATCATGTTAAATATTGTATGTCAGGATAGTTGTTTTACAAAAGCGAAAAAAATAAAGATTTACATGAATAAATAGAATTTGTATCGAGCCTATATATGTATTCGATTTCATTAGCGTTACCTAGTGAAATTGGTACAATGATAAGAATCGATAAAAATATCTCAGCGTCGAAGTTAGATATGTTCCTCTTGTGTTATTGAAAAAGAAAAAAAGAGAAGGACTGTATTGATAATTTATTATTTTATTTACTTGTAATTCATGTTCAGCATTTTCTTTTGCATCAAAATAAGGTCTATAAAATAGAAAATCAATTATTTTTTCATTTAAATCATGTTTTTTTATACTTTGATTTTTCAATTGATCTTTTTAATGAACGTTGAAGTGTTACTCGTTTTTGTTCATATTCTTGATAAAGTTTTGATTTTTCTTCATGTGTTCGTTCACTACGTGTTTTATCTTGTTCAGCTTGCATAACCTTTATTAAATCAAATGATTATTTAATAAATAATTTAAATAAATATTTTACTTTCATTGTTGCATGATTTACATATTCTTGCCATGCAGCATCAAATTCACGTTTATCTGCTTTTAATAATTTACTTTCAGCTAAACTTAATGCTTCTTTTGCAACACGATATATTTCAACAGAACGTTGATATTCTTGTGCAGCTTTTTGAGTTTCTGATTGAGCCTTAATTTCAAAGTAAAATATTATCTATTTAAATATATGTTTTATATTAATTTACTTCTTCAGCTTGTTTACATGCATCATAAAAAGGTCTCGCACGTTCTACACAACTACCGAGTTTTTTTGCAAGAATAGCTAAACGTTGTTTACAATTATTAAAACTTGTTTGAAATAATTGTTGAGCTTCCTAAATATGAAAATTATGAATTTTATTCGAATAAGAGAGAAAAACAAAAAAGAAATCAATTTACATCTAATTGTGTTTCAAGATTATTTATTTCACTTGTTGCAGCATTAGCACGTTCTAATTCAATCTATTATTATAAGAATAGTTTTATATAAATTTGAATAAATTTTTATTTTTATCTTACTTGTATTCGAGGATCAAGTGGTTCATCATTAGTTTCATCTGATTTTTCAACTATTTCATTCATTAAACTATCTTTTTTATGATGATGATTATCATCGTTTTCAAGAGATTTTGATGAGAAAGACATATAGAATATTTTGAAATAGACACAAAAAAAAAAACAACCTATTAGTTGTTTTTCTTTTAATTTAACATGATCTAAAAAGACATAAAATAGTTCATACTTGCTTAAGAAAGATAAGTTAAATAAAAAGTATTATTTTTATTAAACAATAAATCATTGCCACTGATTGATTAATAAGTTTTTCAATAAATTGTTCTAAAAGAGCGTGTAATGCAAAAGTAATTAGCAGAATATATCGACCTTCATATTTCGTCATAGACGTGATTTCGAAAAAGAAATTTTTTTTACAATTCGATAGGAAATTTTCTCTTTTTTCAAACTGTATATGACTTACTTTTATTAAACATTCCTAAACAGTACAGTATGACACGAAATAGAGACACCCTAAAGATGACTCTGTACTCTTTGCACCTTGCACAATAGCAATACAAAATGTCGAATATAATATCTCCTATTTAAACACGTGTTAGAACGATAATTTTTTTGCATCAGGTGACAGAAAATTTTGTCTTTTTTCGAACTATATATAGTTTGTTTTTATCATGGGTTCATAAACGAAACGACACGAAAAGAAATGTGTTTGATGTTTTTATTGATTTATCGGAGAAATTCTCTAAATTAAATAAAATACTAATTAGAAAGGTAAAAGTTTTAATGTATTAGCTTCTAGAATCATATAACTTACTAAAACTACATTACAGTCTATGAATCTACAATCGTTTGACTTGCACAAATAAGTGTATTTTCTGTCTAATATCATTTAGCTCTAGAGATTCATGGATACGAAACTTTTTTTGGGATTTTTCTAATCTTATCTAGATCTTCTTGTCAACCTAATATGAATTCAAACGACTAATATTAGTTCGGATAGGTTCCTCGTGAGCATACTCGAAAAATTGCATGATTTTCTTTAACTAGAACTTTCTTGTTATGAATACTGGTGACAATCAGAGGTACACAATATTTTTCTAGTATATGTAGAAGAAAACTTCAACTCAATGAAAAGTACGATGGTTGAGAAACGGGAGCGATTTTTCAATTTTTTTTTTGTTAAAAAACAGTGAATTCATTAAAAGAAAACCAGCTTTCAATGACCTTTTAAGTGACATGTAGAACTCATTTTCACCATTATGAAATGACATAAAAAATGTCAATCTCTATATGTTCTCCATACAAATGTGCTGGAAGACAATTCTTTTCTTTTTTTATTGGTTAATAGGAAATGTTCTTCTCTTATTTCTCATAGTTGTGTGTAAAATGATATGAGAAAAGGTGTGACTACAAAAGTGAACTCGCACTTCTCCATAACGTGATAAAACCAAGTATTAATCGCAATATCTCTTCGATAAATACGCCTAGAAACGAGAATTCTTTTGTCAGTTGATAGATGTTTTTTTTTTCTCTCCCGATTGAAATTTATATAATTTACTTTTATCACGCATGTATAAATAAACGGATGCGAAAAGAAAACGAAGCACTCGCATAATACTTTAACAATTTCAATATCAGTTCGTCAAAATGTTTTTGCTAAAATGATACTTAATTCTTATTTTACGAGATCGTTTTAAACAAAATACAATCAATTAATGTCTTATGAGAACTTTTGATAAGGTTACAAAGTAGCATGCTAACTGTCATCTCTAAAGTCGTTTTTTTATGAGCCTATATAAAAATCTTTATTTTATTGTGAAAAAAGTGTCCACAATTTGTATCGTTACTTTTGCATTGCATATTATTTACCTGTATAATCGTTCTTCTTCAATTACAGTTGATTGTACACTCAAATCGAGCAATATTAGATTCCTATATTCTAGAAAATATCTTACAATAAATTTTTTTTTTTGTTATGATAGCATGAATTGTCGACATGTTCAAGAGATGAATTAATTGTATGATTTTATTGATATCTTTTTAACATTCACATATAATTTTACGATAAAGAAGTTTTAATATCTATTAAAAAATAAATAAAAATAACGAATTCAAACAGCTATTCTTATGAGATTGCTTATCTAAATAAACAATATTTAGTGTGAAATGAAGTACGAATCAATAAAAATACAAATTATTTCCAGTACTTTAACAAACCATGAAGACAAAAATCATAGAATAAGTCAAAGCGTTTTTATCAATAATTGATTTTTGATAAATTAGTATTTTGATGCTTATCTATTGATGAAAATAAAATAATAAGAATAAAACATTATTAAGGATTGGTGCTAATTTTGATGAATAAAAAATGGATCTACTGACTAATGATGGTGAATTATATGAAAATGTCATGTTTGAAAAGTCTAAATGAGACTTACTTTTTGTTATATGATACTTGTTGACTTGAATAGTTGGCGATAAAATTAGTCATTCCATTTTTTTTCAAGGATTCTTTTCTTTTCTTTTCTTTTATGTCTTCATTAAAACAATGAAAAAATATAAAATAGATGGCGTTCTAATTTTCAATAGTTTTAAGTCTTTTTTAGGCTCAAACAACTATCAAAATTAAAAAAAAAATGCATTTTTTTAATTAAAATTATTAACTCTATTTCATGAGTATTGCAAATAATTTATAAAAGATCAAATTATTAACTTCTTGGTAGTAGATGGCGTTATCTGCTAGAATGTGACACGTAATCACTCTCAATTAATGACTACAAATATTTAGTTCAAATATACCAGCACGAGATGATAAATATGATTCTACATATTCGTGACTAGCTGAAATTATTTTATATTAGGTTTGTGACAAATCGTAGTTCTATGAACCTGTTCTTTCTCATATGTAATGATAATCGTAACATAGGAATTCTATTCAGTAACTGTTCCAGTCATCAAAAGAGAACAGGTTCATAGAAGTGAAAGTTATCAAAAGCCAAGAGCTAGTCTGTTTGAATAGTTCAACTCGCTTTACTAAATAATTTCTTGTCAGTTCCAGTTTCTCGATCGACGTACTATCATAAGTCTATCTAATATATAGTACTGAGAAATCGTAAATAATTCTGTTTGAAGTTATGAAGTTTGTAAATGAAATTTTAATAATTTTATTATTGTAATTTAGATAAAAATAAAATTCTTTAAAGTCGTTTTGACAATCATGAATTAATCTAACATTTTTCTACATTGATTTTTTATTATATATAAATTATTTGTGATCTAAAATGTAGCATAATTTTTTTTCATGAACATTAATATTTATTAAAATATTTTTTAATATTTTGTAGAAATAAACAAATACATTGAAAAATTTAAAAAAAAAATATATCTTATTAGTAAATGTTTACAATACTACACAGCATCCTTTTTCGGCTTCATGACATTGCGGACAAAATCCATAGCCTGGTCCACGTGGATTATAACATTGCAAACAGATAATTTTTTGACATCGATAACATTTATGATCACCGACAACTGTTGGATGATATGCACATGTTAATACATTGATATTATTTGATGCTGTTTGATAAACAGTTGAATTTGGAGCATCCATTGCTTATTCAAAAATTTCTCTAGTCTAAAGTGAGTTCTATGATATTTTAAGTCAAATATTTATAACGTTAACTCATGAAAAGATAAAGACAAAAGAACATGACTCAACAATGTGTGTAGATTGTGAAATTTGTGCTAGTTTTTCTTAATCGATTACACTGTGATACTGTAATAAAATCATTAAAAGACTCAATTAGATTAGGTATAAATTAGCGTTGTCTTAACAAAATGTGAAACATGAACAAAGATTATGGTGAATATAAGGTTATAACTTTCTAGAAACAGCATGATCTTGACCATAGTTTATCATCATATTTTATCATTATTATGTGAAGTGTATATGAATTACAAATATAGACTTAATAAAAGTTCTAGATGTTTTATGATGAAATTATTTTGCATCAATAGCATCTAATTAAATGCTGAAGAGATTTTTCATACACATTGCACAAAAATTGAACGAGAATGTCAAGAATTATCGAAAAAAACTATTAAGGGTACCCCCCCCCTCTTTTTTGACCATTTCTAGATCTCGAAGATGGTAAGGCCGATCGAAATGAAACTTTTACCACAAATAGAACACCTAAAATGACGAGACACGTGTTCGAGGAAAAAATTCTCTAAGGCGGTTTTCATGGTGTTTTATGAGAAACCTTGGTGTACCATAGGATCTCATCTTGCCAAGCACAATCCCTTTCTAACTTCGTCCG